GAGTGTTTTTCGTGTCAAGAAGATGCAACCTTGCCTCAGAATTTATAGGCAAATATCAGAAGAGGTGTCTGGAAAGGTGCCTTTTCAGAAAATACGCGGCTAGAGAGGCTCTCTGAATCTGACTGCCGCAATTCTACCGCGGTCGCGGCAGAACCGCGGCCAGCGAGGCCCTCTGAACTTTCAGCAGGGTTCTGGCGTAGTTTCAGGAGTGATTTGGCATTTAATTAATTATTAAATAATTAAATAAATTTTGTCCAAAATATAATCTTATCGATTGACAAATCCGAAGCCGAAGCCGAAGCCGAGCGAGCGACGACGACGCGAGGGTTCATTCTCTTCAACTCCTTTTAAGAGATTTAAGAAGTGAATCTATATATAAGCACACAAATGTGATTGTCTCTCACCAATGAGGGACAAAGTGCAAGACAAAAGTTCACTTCTTCAAATTTTCATTTTCCCTCCATTTTATTTCTCTCCATTTCCAATTCACACTTCTTCTACTTTAAAGCTCAATGGCTTAAAGCCCAACATTGTTTTCAATTTGATTTGTGGATGACTTGGATATATATTGGAAGACCAAGACTTTTAAACTTGACAATGGTGCCTCGGCGTATTGGAGAGGTCATCAAAAGACTTGTCATCAAAACTACGTGACAATGGTGCCTCGGCACTTACTGTGAAAGTCTTTTGACTAAGTCCATTTGAACAAATCAAGCCCTCTCTCTCTCTCTTTTTTCCTTGTGTAACAGCGGGGTCAGATTAGATTGGATGTATAACGGGTTCTAGATGTGGAAGCAACAACTAATGCTTGTATTAGGCTAGACTGTTTATGTCACATCCTTTAAGGTGCAGTTTTTCCCCAAAAATAGGGAATGCTTTGTGCACCCCACTGCCGTTTTTTTTTAAAAAAAATACATATTGTCTGTTATCAATATAAAGTATCAAGTAACGTACTCCGTCCGTCAAAACTTAGATAGATATTAAAAATTAGTACGTGATACTTTTTGTCCAAGCAAAAAGTCATGCTATATCCTCTTACTAGTAGAGTTAGAAATATGAAAGCATTAAACAAGAAAGTTGGCACATGATGAAAGAAAGCGCATAGGATAGTTGAACATTATACAATCTTTGCTCCAATCAAGCTTCACCTCGCGCATTTGTTACCTTTTTGCTAATTAGTAATTAAGTACTTAAATCAGTGAGCATGTCGACATTTCTATTGCAGCCTTACCAAACTTTCTGGTTTCACCTTTTCACTTACTTCCAAATTCATCAGTAACTGTACTTTTTCTCATGTCGAATCCTTTGGGAGCTTATGATCAAGTTAGTGGTACTGGTATCATTGTTAATGGACCTACTCTTACGAGTAGGAAAGATCTTTTAATTCTTCTTCGTATCGTCCGCCTAAGCCGAAGGTCTATCGAAAATAATTTTTCTACTCCTTGGGGTAGGGATAAGGTGTGCGTACACTCTATCCTCCTCAAACTCTATTTTATGGAATTTTACCTTTCAGCAAAGACGAATCTGAATTTTAAGTTAGTGGATGCGAATAATTTTTCGTGACAATGGGTGAAAACTAGGTATAACTATTCTCCTAGTTCTTTTAAAAAGGATTAAATATAAACTATGCAGTAATAATAAACATATTTCACAAGCCTCATTTACCACAATCATCTTTGTTATATAGGAATCTAACTTTCCTAGTGCTTACACAAGAAAGGCACAAGGGTTACAGACCCTCACAGTGACTACTTTAGACCAGCTTACACGCACGTCGACTATTTTACCTGATACTTGCTTCTGCCCACCAACAATACAAGAAAATTAAACGATCCGTAACAAATTCTGTCGTTGTTCTAGTTCCTCTGATCTGCCAGCAAAAACTAATCTACAGCATTAACTAAATATGAAAAAGATATCATTCACATGAAATGTCATATATACCTTGATTATACAACTAGGTTGACGATTCAAACCACAATTTGTTTCATTTTACTTTTATCTTTTCATGATATCGTCCTTCTGAATCTTAACAGTGAAATCCCAGATATCACCATATTTCTCATTGAATTCCCAAATGTCCATAGTGTTATAATCCGATATCAACTTGTCTCGAGCTCCTCGTTCCATGTTATATATCTGAGGCTCAAAATTATGAGCTTCACTTGGTTTGTCCATCTCAATAATGCAGAACACAATTGTAAACACAGCTGCTCCGATATATAAGTACTCCCCCTGCATGTCAAGAGGTGAAAACACCAGACTTTAGTTTGCTAGAAAAGGCTGTTTTCGAGTGTCAAATTTCGTCGACTTACTGGAACATTGAAGTACATTCCAGCAGCAATTGCAGGAAGGAATAGCCATGAAATAATACCTACAGGAAACACCAGAAAACAAGGTGAAGTTTATCATATGAAATGCGACAACAACAAACTTAGTATAATCCCATAAAGTGGGATCTGAGGAGGATAAAGCCCCCAACCAAGGGAGTGGTTATGTTCGCTATATCCCCTTATTCCCGACATGCTTGTTAGTAAACTGTATTTGTAAAATAATCCTGGAGAAGATAAAATAACATATAAACAGAAATGTAAACGGAACAAAATTTAATCCGAGCCCACTGAATTCACAGTGTTTCCTTAAGGAACTTAATTCCCTCATTGTACCCTAGGTTTTGGATTATTTCCTCCAGGATAGAACGAATTATACACTGGTGTAACGATACTTCAAACCCCATTGTTTCAGCGAACACAATGATCGGCAACAAATCACACTTACTGTTGCTTTCTTTGTAGTTAAAATAATACAGAAGAAAGGAGGAGAATCCAAATATTCGTATGGAAAATCTGAAAGAATGGACTGCAATTTATAGCCCCAACCTGTTGAGTTCAAACGAAGAGGTGTAAACGTAAATGGCCATTTACGCAAATTAAAACGGGCACGAGGTTTGCCTTCTTCTTAACTCCTTAAGAGCTAGAAGAAGAGCAATTGTATATATACCCATCAAAAATCTTTTCCTCCTCTATTATGGGACAATGTTCCTTTGTCAAGGAGGGAAACTCAAATATTTCATTTTCCATCCATTTCCTATTCACCCTCTTTTAAGCTAAAATAGTTTAAATAACCCAACAATGTTATGGTGTCCCGGGGCTGTCTCGTGAAGATCTTCGATCCGAACTTTCGCATCTGCTCTCTCTTAGAGGATGAACCAGCGTATGCAGCCTTACCCCTACCTTGAGAAGGTAGAAAACCGTTTCTGATAGACCCCAACACAAATAAAGATAAAAAGAAACAGATACTATTATGTGAAATGCATGACTAGATAAACGGACGTTAACGATCATATGGTTGGTAATTTAGAATATACCTTGAAATCCTGTTGGGGGTGCAACAGAAGCATAATCTTCTTTTATGGATTCCCAAAATGTAGCTGCAATGCAAGTTCACAGATGACAGGACTAACTTATCAGATAGCTGAGATCATATTGAACATAAAGATCAAAGTCTGAACTTCAAAATGCTAAATATTTTTTCTAAAAGTTGGGATCAAGTTAACTACTAGCTGCGGCTGAGCTAGAATTTTGAACTCTATGAGTTCTAAATTCTAAGTTAGCGGCATTAGATGTTAGTAGCTGGTTCTGAATTTAATTTTCGCACATATTTAGTGGATTTTTAAAAATAAATATAGAGTTTGGACTAAAGTTACTAGGTTCGACCGAACCCGTACACAACCTTCTAGCTTCGACCCTGACTACTAGTTTGGACATAAATTAGGCGGAAAGAACTATAATCCAGCAAAGTTAATCATTCAAATATTAACAAGATTTTGAGAAAATTGTAGTAAAAAATTGTTTAATTCCTCAAATAATAATAGTAGTGTCATATAAATGGGATTATGCACCTTTATCTTCACTCTCAAAATAGGTATGATGATCATCGTACTTTCCAAACACAAAGTCTTCCTGCAACAATCAAGAAACCAGTTCTTTATGACATGCCTATCTCCAAATTCATAGAACAATTATGAAAAATTCATGGGTTCGGGTCGTAAAAGCAGCCACTAAAGCTTGCGTTAAAGTAGACTGCCTACATCACATCCTCTTGGGTGCGACCCCTTCTCGGACCCTGCTTGAATGCAGGATGCTTCATGCACCGGGCTGCCTTTGTAACATAACTATGAATAGATAAATCAAAGAGAAATAGAGAAACATTACAATTTCAATGCCATTAGTTCTCCATCTATCAACAGGATCTTCATTAATGTCTGGTTCTATTTCCGTCAACCCTGCATACAATCTTGTTGATGACCTCATTCCACTACATTTTGTACCAATTTTCGAAGAAATAGAACATTGGTTTCCTCGAAAAAGAACATTATATTTGAGTTGAGATTCTCCAGATTTTGTTGACAGTACTGGATTGGGAACTGGAACAGTGGAGAGTAGTGAAATTGTTACTGAATCCGCCATGTTTACTGAGTCAATATTTTTGTTTCCTGCTAATTGTTTAGTCTGCTGCAATCTCTACTAAGTTATCCATATTTTGAATGGCAACGGCCATGCGTGGATAAGGCCATAATTTTATGGTGGCTTATATTTTTTTGGCTCTTATGTTCTTATTGTTTACCTTGTTATAAATAGACCACATTTTCACTTTGCTTATACAGTCAATTAAGGGGTCGTTTGGTGGGGACGAGTTATTTCGGAATTATAATGATAAAATTATAATACAAGAATTAAATAATGACAGAATTATTTAATAAATATATTTTTATTGTTAAATATTTGGTTTATTGTACTAAAAATTGAATATACTGGATATAAAATAAATACTACTATGTGTTTTGTGTATACCAGATAAGTTGAGATAAACTTTTATTTTCAGTTTTAACCTTGAATTGTTTAAAACATCTTTTGGGAAGAGCCTTGGAGAACGACATCTTTGTCATTTTAGTATTTATCCTGGAATTAACTAATCCCGAGATTGTTATTTCACGTACGATGTGGGATAGAATAATATCAAATTGCGGGATTAATTAATCTCAGGATTACTAGTTCCGAACTCAAAAATTCTACCCAACGCGAATAAAATAATCCCGCATCTAGTTCCGGAATTATTTATCCTTATCCCACATTTGGTAAATAAGATAAGAATGATGGGATTAACTACCCCTTATAGAAGATGGGATAACTAATCTCATGGATATCCCACCATTGTACCAAACGACCTTTAACAATATTACTTTTATAATGAAAGTAGGGGTGGTTATGCAAGTTACCTCCTCTAGCAAAGTTTGATACATTATTTATTTTAAATAAATACCCTTTTACAAAGCTATATTCCATAGCTACATTTTGATTTTTTATAGCCAAATATCTATTTATGATTACCTCCTACCCATAAGCCATAAAATAAGCTTCGTATTATTTTTCTCTCTCCACTCAAATTTCTCTTATCCCTAACCAAAAGCTTCAGCCGAGGACCCCTAAAAAAGCTGCCCACCCCCAATCTCTCACCCACCTGCAGCCCCATCTTGTTCTCATTCTCTTCAATGGAGGATAGATCTCCTCCTTCTTGAGAGAGCAACAACCATCCTTCCCATTCCCCTTCTCCAAGAACGCCCAACACTCCACCCCTCACAAACTTGATCATCCGCCCACCTTCCTAAGAGAGGATCATCATCCTTGAATTCCAAAAAGAAAGCTGATAGCAGCCAACTCCATTAACAACCTCCAGTCGCCACCCCAAGAAAAAGGAACGAAGACGACGGAGTTTGGGGCTGAGCAACTTGAATTTTCTGTTAATATATTTCAATGTATTTCAATGTATCTCGTTGTATTTCCATCTATTTCATTGTATTCATTGTCTTTTTTTCATTGTATTTCAATGTATCTTGCTGTATTCCACGTATTTCATTGTATTCACTGTCTCGTTGTATTCCATGAATGTATTCATATATTGTTTTAATTAATATAATTTATATATTCAGATATATTATATAATTCCTCTGAAGATTGCTATATTTTTCGGGTGTTTTTCGGTTGAAAATCTTTTTTATAACTGAAAATACAAAATTTGTGTGTTATACTTGAGTTTGTTGAGTTATATTAGGAGTCTATTATGTTAAATTCACTTTCCATTTAAAAATAGTGTAATCCCCTATTTCATGCCGTGAGTACAGTCGAATACAATGATCTGTCTAGCTGTAATCCCATGTTTCACGCTATGAATACAGTCGAATACACTCGAATACAAAAATCTGTCTAGCTGTAATCCCATGTTTCACGCTATGAATACAGTCGAATACACTCGAATACAAAAATCTGTCTAGCTGTAATCCCATGTTTCACGCTATGAATACAGTCGAATACACTCGAATACAAAAATCTGTCTAGCTGTAATCCCCTGTTTCACGCCTAGAAATGCTACTGTATTCATGAATACAATAGCTTAAATACATCGAATACACTCTAAAAAATCTGAAAACATAGTTATGGGAAGTAATATAGTAAATGGTAGCTACAACCATCTAATAACCACTAAAACATAGTGATTTCTGCAATGATTGCTTATTCTAAGGGTCTCTCTAAATAGTTTTATCCGGATATTGACAGATTTAAGTATTTTTATTCCGCATATTGACATACATAAATCGTACATATATTAATTTTGATATAAGTTATGCGGTATTACTAATACACGCTTAATTTTTTATAATAAACTCTACATAAGTTATATAAAATTTAGTTTAACCAAATACTACAGAAGTATAATTATGTAGAGATTATATTAGTACTACAGAAATCTGTATCTTTGGGCTGAAAAAATAAAAAAACAAATCTGTATCTCTGATTTGTCATAATAAACAAGACTTTATTATCTATTTCGAAAACAGATACCAATTTCACAATTTCAGTTTTAGGAATTCACATACTATAGAATGTTCGTGTCCTTTAGAAAAATCAATAACCTACCCTATTGAGATGTCTGCTTTAGACTTTAGTTGTGTTCAACATTATTCTTCGTTTTAATGAATTGGTGTAGAATTCGTACGATGTGCGAACAATATTAAAAAGTATAAATCATGCAGAATTGTGATCTAACTTAATATTTACTATAAGGGGTTTCTGATTGCATACTTACTTTAATAATAAAAGGGGTTCTCATTACCTTGTCAAAAAATGAACTTGAAATTAGATTACTTTCCAAACACCAAATCAGGCAAATTAAGTTACTAACTTTTCCAAATAGATTATTAGTAATCTTGGTTACTATTTTCCATCAACTGAAAATTCATTGCAAGTCTTCTGCTTCCCTACAAATTCAGTGCTAAAAACAACAGTTAAATTGCAAGAGATATCAAAATACTTAGGAAGAGAATGGAGAAGGCAACATTTTTCCTAAAGATTTTCTTGGTGTCCTTTTTGCTTATTTCATTAGGTAAATAAATAATCTAGCTCATCTATATTCAATTTTATACGCCACAATTTCTACAGTAATTTTAAAACTTTCAAATTCAATAAGGTAACAGACCATTGACCCAGTTAAATTTCTTATTATAGCTTTTAAATTTTGAAAAAGTAAAAAATTCAACAACTTAGTAATTCACATTTTTTGATAACGCCATGGATAGAGATGTAATGTCACAGTTTTATTTGTTTTTTTCTCTTTTTTTTGTTTGAGTTTTTCATTCGATATCTGGTTCCCGATTCCTGCGTTGGATTCCGACTCATGTGGATTCGTACGGCTCCACCACAACCTTTGGTGGGTGCTATTTAAGTTAGACCTCCATTCATCCTTTATTAACTCTCACAGAAAATGTCAATTATGTAATAAATCATATTCAACCAGGTTATAAGTACACTTTATTAATAAACATTAAGATAATTATTTTTTTTAATTTGATGTAATTAAAAGTTACTGTTCATATTCAAAGCTCTTTGTTGTTTCTCTTTGCACTATATAGCCCAATTTTTTTAGTTAATTTTTTGCTCTTTTTTATGATGAGTTTTTTTTAAAGTATTGATTTAAACTAATATCACACTATTACATGCTAAAAGAACATGATAGTTAACATTTTATTATTAAAAAATTTGTACTCCTGCACAAAATTTAGCAATTTGAAATAGTCTTTCTACCTCACACCCAGCATGGTAAGATTTGCGTATATCTCGTCCTTCCTAAGTACTGCTTGTGAAATCAGACTGAGTACGTTATTGTTGTTATTTATTATACAAAATTTTGCAATTTGCGGGTCTTTTTTTTATTTAATTAATTATGGTAACCCTAGTTACTTCTTTTCCAATAACTTATTCAACAATTGGTATTAATTAATTAGGTCAAGCAAGCAATGGGCATGTGTGCAATAAGGATGACGACTGCAATGAACAAATGTATTGCATATATTTGTTATACGTGAAAACACACAAGTGCTACTGTAAAATTCCTTCATACCCACCTACTTATAACGTACCAGAAGAGAACGAGAATGATCAAGAGTGATTTTATGTTCTTTTTCATCATTTAGAATGATTAATAAAAGTCACTTATCTTCATTTTGACATTGGAATGTGCTTCACTCTTTTGGAATTTGTTGGTGGCACATAATATTGTATTTTATACTATCATGTCACCGAAAAATAATTTCAGATAATTATTTATATAAAACAGAGTTAGTGATATGAAAATAAGAATAGTGTATAAAAAAAAGAAGGAAAAATGACATCGTATAACCGCTTACAAAATAATAGCCGAAAAAATATATGTGTATACACACACACACATTTTGTATGTTATATACAAAAATTATACAAATTTTATACATTTTTTCGGCTACTAAATATAAATAGTTTTTGGTGCGAGTTAGAAGTGATAATACTCCTATAAAAAACTGCACTTAATGTCCAAAGGTTAAATCCTTAAAAAATGTATAGATCGCTATAGGGGTATCAAACGGCGTGTTGAGCTGAATTTGAATGGGTCAAAATGGATATTGTCCTGCCAAAATACTACCTGGGCTGGGATTAACTGATTCAAGATGGACTAAGTAATGAGTCGTAGTCCAATTAAGTTTTTTTCCAATAATTTATTTAATTACCAAATGAAACAATAAAACTCCTTTTATCTTTATTATAGCTATATAATTTCAAAAAAACAAATTAAAAACATTTTGAATCTTTTGCAAATTAAATTATACCTCTTAGATTCGAAACAAAGGCGTTCTAGACTAAAAAGAAAAAAATATGCCTTTCTAAGTTGCAATACTTGCAAAATATAATTCATAAAAGAAAAAAAAACTTCATTTTATAGTAAAAAGAGGGTCTTACCGAGACACTGGGAACAAAGCTTGACTCATGAATCAACTGCCTTGAAGAATTATAATAAAGCATACAACTTGAACCACATAAGCTTATTGAAGTAAATCCAGATAATTGAACCATCAAATAACATTAGGGGTGGCAAACAGGTGGGTCGAATCAAATATGAGTGAGCTGCAAAAAGGTAATATAAACACGGATAAATTATAGTCACGATCCAAAATCTCAGATTTCGTGATAGCGCTTATCTCAATATTAGACAAGCCGATAACCTCAATAAATCACAAATTC